CTTTAGATCATGAGAAAATTAACTTGTTTTCTCAAGAAAACCACCGTGAAAAAGTAGCTGAGGTTATCACGACCGCTCTGGGCTTCCGTAAGATCCAGTAACTGAGCTCAGGCTCTTTAAATCTCAGCTAAAATCACAGCTGTTCAGAGAGACCTTTAACTCCCAGCTGTTCAACTCTAGATGTTTTCTTTTATGCTTTTATTATTTTAGTGTTTTGAATCATGCTAATATGCATTTTTGTCTTATTTTCCCGTACATTTTATTTTTTATCTATTTTGAAGCAATGAGTTTTTAGAGTGGCCGTGGCAAACAGAGGATCCTAACCCCTGCTGAAGTGAAAGTTTTCGCCGGTACTGATGCATAGAAAGGTATGGAAGCCCATTTCCGCCACTCTGTAAAAAAAGGAAAAAAAATTATCTCATTATAATTAGATAGTAACTCAATATCTCATTATAATGAGATACTATCTCATTATGAGATGCTAACTCATATTTAGTTACTATCTCAATATAATGAAATGCTAACTCATTATAATGAGATAGTATCTCAATATGAGATACTGTAGTATCTCAATATAATGGGATACTAACTCAATATGAGATTTTTTTTTTTTTTTTACAGAGTGGCGGAAACAGGCTTCCATAGAAAGGAAATCAGACCTCCTGCTGCACTTTCCCCCACCATCACACAGCAACAAAGGTTAGGAAATCTTTTCTAATTTATTTTAAACCAGTTTTTTTTCCTGTGCTATAGGAAAATGATTATTGCTGATTGGTTTATTAAATAGGAGCTCAGGGAAAATTATTCTGCTGTTTTTTGTGATAAACATTCAAGTTGGGCATATATAATGTTAAAGCTGCTGCTTCCACCGTAATATTTCAGAAGGAGCCAAAGACCACTTCACCATGGCAACCAAACACCCATTTACACAATGTGGAAATAGTAGCAGAGCTGCATCTCTGGCATTTCATCAGAAACAGTGCAAACAGCACAGATTCAAAACAGCCCAAATGGATTGTAAATTTGAACTGGTACATTCTACTGTAATAAATGACAATGATTGGGTATCTGTGCCCAGCACCAATAAGGAAAGGTGTTTTACGGGGAGCCAGTATGTCTAGAAAAGCATCAGATAGAATTGATCAGGCATGTAAAGGAGTATAATGGGTCTTTAAAAAATTGACCCTCCCATAGATGGATTAAACAGCTTTGCATGGGTCACATTTTGGTTTCAAGACAAAGTCCTTCATCAAAATCATTGACTAAAAAAACTGAAAAACATGAATAAATGATGCATAAAAATAAAATAAGAAAAACCTTCAACCATCACCCTCCTAAAGTTGAGCAAGCTTGATAGCTTCCTTCCATCAAAACAAAAAAATAAATAAACTGGAGAATTACAAAACAAACTTTATTGACAACTCCCATCTCACAATACAACAAATACTGGATGTAAAGTCAGTTGAGATGATTAGTGATTCATTTTAGAGGGAAGATCCCATCTTTGATAACATAATTTTTCACTCGGGAGGCGTAACAATCCAAGTTTAATTTTTACAAAAACATTTGATAAACTGTTTGGTGTAATAAGGAAGAAAATAAGGTTTCTTCTTGAGAGTAGCATGCTCCTGCCTACACTGTTCAAGCTAATTAGTCTTTAACTGCACTGGAGTCGGAGCTGGAAGAGCTCAGCACAGGGACGGGGGTCTGAGCGCTGCAGGATTCATGTTTATCAGTGAAAAACAAACTAAGCAGGAGTTAAACATCGACGTCAGAGTCTACTTCTTCCCCGACTTCTTGATCCCGCCGCTGGCTGCAGGGAAGATGAAGCAAAGTGTTAAAGAAAGCAGATAAAATGACTGAGCATCAACTGTGAGTCAGGTCTCTGATTTTTACGTTTACGGAATGAATCAAAAGAACTAAGAGCAACGAACCAAACTTCCTGGTGAAAGGTAAAGCTACTGAGGATTGCCCACATGTTAGGGGAAACCACTGAGACCCATGGATCAGACCAGAAATATAAAAACAATGCAAAGCCTCTTTAATAAGGTCAGGTTGGATTTCTACCTGGTTTCTTAACATAGATGGCTTCCGTCACGCCCGGGGAGCAATAGGGGGCTAAGGGTCTTGCTAAGAGACCCAGAGTGCAGGTTGTGGGGATTGAACAGGGTACTTGCAACCTTATCAGAGCACCGGCGCACTGCTCTAACCCACTAGGCTTTTTTAAGACTATAATTATTCCTAATGCTCATCAACACTGAATGCCTGCAGCAGGAATCACCACACAAACATCCCTGAGTTAGAATATCAGTGAACAGACCAAGAGTGTTAGCTTGAATTCAAATTATGATACCATAGAAACCTTAAAAGAGGAATTATAGATAGAAATATTTATTATAATTTCAATAATAATCATCTATTCTTACTTAAAGGTCCTTTTCCTGACGCTTTGGCCTTCAGGGCCTCCATGGCCTTCTGCTCTTCCTTCTGCTTCTGCTTGAAGGCAACGTCTTCCTGCAGACATACATTTTGATTTATCATGTCATCAACGAGTAACTCTCTCTGTTAAACAGGTCACCTAATCAGAAATAAAGGTAGCAATGCTAATATTTTCCCGAGCAAAGACACCGGTGATCATTTGCATATTAAGATTTCACTTTAATGTTTAAAAACATCTCGTTGAACACTTGTTGGTTAAGAAGACATGTTTCTACAAAAGAAAATCTTATGCTACGTTCACAGCTGAAGCAGCAGAAGCAGCTAGTTTACACGCAGTGCGTTTTGAGCAGCAGGAGCGGCGCCTCATGAGCTCCTGATGCGTTCAACGTAATGGTAATCTGGATGAACTGACTGCACAGACCATGTTTTCAGGAGGACTTTCTCACTTCAACATAGATTCTAACTACTTTTTACCCGCTGATCACAGCTAATATAGCTGCCATTGTTCCAGGCAGAGAAAGGATAGGGTAGCTCCGCCCAACGCGCATCAGAACCACTTTCCGGTACTGACCTTTGCAGCTAGAACAGCAAAGGTCAGTACCGGTCAGAACTAAACCGGTACAAACATAAAAAATTAAGCAGCAGGCGCATTTTTGCTGCTTCTGCTGCCTGCAGTCTGAACGTAGCATTATTCTGTGGCCTCTAACTGAAGTTGTAGAGATGTTTTCTCAGTTGATAAAATGCCACTTACATCATCCATCTCCTTGTTTTGTTTCTTGGGCGCCTTCAGTGGTTTCTTTTTGCCTCCTAGAACAGATTAAAAATTTAAAAAAATGTATTCCACCAACATTCTTGCCACTCAATATTTGACAAGTATGTCTGCAAGTATTTAAAGGCTAAACATTCAATAGCATATGTGGATAACAAAATATATAAATGATAAACTTAGTCATTAGATTTTATGTCATAAAAGGACATAACATAGAGAGGAAAACAAGAAGAAAATGGACAAGAAGAGAGGGACAATGGATGTCTATTCTATTAACATTTCTCTATCTGTAGAATGGGGCTGTATTATGTGTTGTCTTCTCAATTCAGAGGGCCCCCTGCCTGTCTTTGCCTAGGGCCCCAAATTTCCTAAATCCGCCCCTGGGACTAATACATTTAAAATGAAATGAGTTAAAATAGGGAATCAGAGTTTCCAAAAGCCAAGTCCAGAAAGCCACTGATTAGACGTGTTCTGCTGGGATCTACAAAACAGCTCAACAATTAATGGATGTAGAATATAATTAGATATTTTCAATGTGCCAAAGCTGCTCCTAAATTATGTAAGAGACCGATAAGATCAGACGGAATGACCTCACCGACCGTTAATGCAGATAAATGTGACTCTACAGCCTCCTGATTAATGGCTTTGTTTTCTATAACCAACACGTCAATTTCCACATTAAGAAATTGATTAAAATGAAAACAAATGAGTGAAAATAGCTGCCAGCAGTTTGCACTTGTTAGCATCTCTTAGCTTCCCTCCGTTTCTGAAGAGCGCGATACAGTAAAGTACAAGGTTTAAAAAATATATATAAATTAACCACGACTAATTTTAACACAAAACAAGCCTCACCTTCTCTGCCGGACATTTTTAAATAGCTTAAATATTAGATAAAATCTGAAAATAACAGAAATTCAAAGCAGTTGTTGCTTGTAGTCAGTCGGTCTTATCCGCGCTGGTAGGACCCAAGAAGAACTACCGGAAATAGGCTCCTAAAATATGTGCCTGAGCAAAAAGACAGTCGTACCGGTGCTAGCTGCTTCAGCAAACATCAGAAGGAGAAAAATGTAAACAAAGTTTATCCCAAGAAGTTAAATACTGTCACTTCTCATTAGGATACAGGTATGTATATTACAACATCCTCTTTAAAATAGATTTATGACAGGCATTGTTTAGACAGTTTTATAACAACAAGGTTAATGTTAGCAATATAAAGCTAGTTAGAAAGGAAACAGAAAACAACGATAAAGAAAGAAAAAAAAAGAGTTTTAATTAGGAAAGCCCAATCACGGCGTGTCCTTTAGTCTGTGTGATTCCAACGGGAAGTATTAAGAGGGTCATTCATGTTTCTATTTTATTTATTGCTTTTTTCCCCTCTGTTAGGGCAGAGTCAGGTGTCTGTTAAAAGTCACCATCCTGCTGTTTTAACATTTACTCAGAGTTTTCTTCTAATAACGACAACAGGAGAATATAGAACAACTGCAAACGTAGCTTCCTTAGTTGGGTTTAGATTTAAAATGATTCCATCAAGTTAGAAATAGATAGATTAGAAATAGATTAGATTAGAAACTATAATAGAACCAGTGACATTATTGTTATATCATTAGATATTATTAAAAAAGAAAAAAAAGTTCCTTTAAAGAAAATGTATCTCATTCAAAATATGTTTGTCAAATATGTTGTAGTATTAGAGATTTATTTTTCTTCTATTCTTCTATTTTCTTCTAAAGTCGTAACATTACAAGAATAAAGTCGGAAGATTACGAGAGTAGATTTGTAACATTACAACGATAAAGTTGTAAAATTGCCAGACTTTCCTCATTGTGGGACAATAAAGGGATTTTCTATTCGATTCTAAAATAGATCATGGGGAAGTGTCGTCATTATTACCCAGTTTGTCGCTTTCTTCTCAGTTGCTGGGTCACAGTTGTTTCTTTAAATGTTCCAAAACATTTAATATATGT